TAGCATATTGGATGACAACACCTAGTGAGTAATTCTTGAAGATTTCTTCCCTTGTTTAGTAAGTAACACTAATGCTTATAGGCTTTTCATTACTAGGTTTCTTGGGCTGTTGCTATTTGTAGAGCGAAGCTGAGTGAGTGTGTCCTTTTCAGTTTAATATGTGGAGCTGATCTGGATATAACTCTGGCATGCACATCCATTTTAAACTCATTTCCTTTTCTATTTGTTGGTATTCTCTGCTTAGTGTTGGTTCAACAATGTAATTTTCCATACATTCTGATGAGTAAGTGATGATAATCAATTTGATGTCTAGGTTGTCAACTTTAAATGCTCCATTTGTGATCAGCTAAAGGCACAAACTGCATTTCTCTGCAATGACCAGCAAACTATGTGAAGTTCATAGCAACCAAAGCTTCTGTGCAGACAGGGTGGTGCCTTGCATATTTACAAGGCCAATTCTTACTAGATCAACAGTTACAGAGTAAAATCAGCATAAACATGTTTTACTGGTGTAGATACTGCTATACTTGAACTTTGCCTGCATAGCTGTTCTCAGAATATTGCAAAGACAGACCTTTTTGGAGAAGCAGAGAAGCAATGGAATAATTGAGGACAGGAGACATGGTGCAGGCAGCTCCTGTGAAATTAACTCTCTCTTTTCTCTTTTCTCTTGTAGTAACATTTGCACCTGGACAAAAGTCAAAGTTCACAATGTTCTGCTGCATATACAGTAAGTGATGCCTGGTTCACAGCTATAACTAACATCCATTTCACCTGCATTGTTTCTCAACTCCCTTCGAGAAGGTCTGCAGTCACTGTTCTTCAAGACCAGGACTGCCTACAGTGTGAATGTGCTGTCACCCATACAGGTGTGCTGAGATCTGAGGAGATAATTCTCAAAAGCCATCGCTGCCCTGAGAAGTCCCTTGGGTTCAGGCTTACTGACAGCTCAAGCTGTCACTGTTGCTTAAGGCAAACTGGCCTGGCAGACTTTCTTCTGGAATACTGATTGTAGCTGTTGGCAAGTAATTCGTTGGTCCAGAGCTAGAAGTCCTGACTGGTTCAATTATACCTGCTTGTCTTGTGGTGTTGGGGGCAGACTCCTTTGACCTGGACTCTGTGTCGATGTGTGGATGATTGCCTCCAAGTGTTCTGACAGCAGCTGCTGAGCAAGGCAGGACAAAGTAGGCTCTTCTGCAGATTCTGTTGCCTGAGGCAGCTCCTGTTCAGAGGATCGACCAGAGACCCATGCTTAGCTTGACTGTGTTTCAGAGTACAACAGGCCCTGCTGGAAAAGCAAATGCAGGTTGGCTGTTTGTTCCTCCCTGCCAGGGAGGAAGGAGCATAACTGCAGTTTTATAATACAACTCCTGCGGGGACAGGTTGCTACTGTTGTGGTCTGAGTTAAAGCTAAACCTGGTGTATGAGACAGTGAGGCTTTTAAGAGGTATAGCAGCGCTAGAACGCCTCCATGCAGCCATGAAAAAACGAGTGATCTTCATTAGTTGAGTTTAAGCTACTTTGGAAAACTCTGCAGCAAAAATTGTGTCCTTTTGTAGCCTGTGTCCACTGGAGGGATCTCTCTGCACATCTGTGTTGACAGATTCCAGGTTGTGAACCCACTGTTGGAAGGTGGACCTCTAGGTTCACCATCTGTGGACTGTTGTCAATGAGCCCATGATTTCTTCATGAAGGAGGAACTGCTTTTGCATCATGGTCTTTTGTGCTAATCTAAAGCCAGGGCTTCACCTGCTGTATCTCAAAATGGACTGTGAATATTAGGAAAAGTGTTTGGAGAAAGTATGTGAGTCTCTTGGAGACATGCCAGGCTGGAATTCTCCCAAGTCACTAAAGAAATGTCACTGGTGATCTCCCAAAACACAGATGTTTAAATCTTCATCTTCTGTTGCAATTTGAAGGGCTATATTGTCGAGTTCCTTGTTTTATGGGTCTTAGTGTGGGTTTTAACTGTAGTCCATGCTGAGTGATGTGAAGTTTAAACAGGTAAAGTACACAGAGAAGCCCCATGCTACTCAAAGTACAGTAAAAATGGTGCATTTTGGACATCATGGAGAATGGCTCCATCTGTTAAGGCAACTTTGTCCTCCTTAGCTGATGCTGTGGGCTGACAGCACCTTTGCTCTCCTTACCTGCAAGCTCTCCATTAGCCAGAAGCTGAAGATGATTCCAGTCATCTTTACAGTTTTCTGCACCACATCTCCTCCTGCTGATACTACCCACTGATAGATTGCATGGTGTTAGGAGAAACTGCTTGATGCAAACAGCTCTTGAGGAGGTGGCACAGGAAGATAGTAATTGAAAGATACATTTTTGTCTAGCTAACTCCATAACAGCCATGCACTGTGAGTTGCACTGGCACTTTGGGAACACGTACATAATGAAATGGCACAGGAGTGTTATGCCGGGGTGGGAAGTCTTCTAGGCTTCCAGAATGGCCAGAGCATCTGTTGTGGTGGTAGTGATCTTGTAAAGGCTTTCTTTAATGCAGTCTGAAAAATGCTTTCCCTCTCTAACATGTGAAATTTAGCTGAGGGTATCTTGACTGTTGTATTCTGGGGCTACGTAATAGGGACAAAACAGGATGGCAGTCGGAGCTCACCGTGGGACCTTTACATTATGAGAAGTCTCATCTGGGACAATCACAAGTGCAGTTCTGGTCTGCTTTTGCTTTGCAGGGGTACCCTGACCTGCACATACCTGTGTCATTCAGAGCAGCTGGCTTTTGAAGACTACCAGTATGTGGATTGCCGGGGGAATGTCACGCTACCTCACCCATTGTACCGCCACCTGCCATGACAGAGCCAGGTCGGCAGAGCTTTTGAGTGCAGCATATTCCACCACAAAGGCAAGTCATAGGGAGACCAACTTCTGGGGCTTCTTCTCAACCTATGCCTTAAACACAAGGCTTGGTGTTTCCTGGATAAGACCTCCATCTCTCATGCAAAGATGGTAACATACTTGGCTTTATGAATGCAGATTCTGCTGCCCTCAGATTGCAGCTTTCTTTTTTCAGTGCCTTATCGTGGCTGATGCTTCAGCAAAGTGAACAGTGCATGGGGTGTCTCTGCATGGCTGATCAGAGTGGGTTACACTCTGCTACTTTGGACGCAGTGCCCTTTTAGTCAGACTAACTCTAGTTATTTCTTCCTTGCATACTTTTGCACTTCTGTCTTGAATTTAAGTATTTCATAACTTGAAAAAGGACTATGATGGACTTCTTGGCTGGATTGCATATGCATGACCAGAATCTAATGACACTTGCACAACCTGCACAAGGCCAAGAAACTGGACTAATGTGTCTCTATCTCCGAGTCTTAAGAAAAACTACTGCATGTCATGTCAAAACACCTTGTGAGAGTGACTCTTGGGTGATTGCTGTCCAGTATATTTAAGCTGTCCAGTATAGCAGGTGAGAATATGCATTTTTGTATCTATGTACTTTTAAAACAAGCTCATCCATTAACTGTTCCTTAATGGCATCCATTTCAGTGAGAAGAAAATGCGTTTTGTATCACAAACCAAAAAGATTGCTGCTTTCCCACCAGTGGTGTTTGGTGGCTAGCAGATGCTTTTTGTTGTATTGTTTTCTTGTATGCTTTGGCATTTAATGCTTTCAACTTGAACAAGCATGAGAGAGTTTATCTCTGACTGGAAAAGCTTAGTTTGCACAAATATCAGGAAACAGTTTGTCTTGGGGTGTGGTGTGTTGGTGGTTTTTTGTGTCTAAAGCTGCAAAATTACCCAACTACAGGAGGAACAGCCCTGGCAGCCTTCTGTCCTCCTAGGGCTGGCAGTTGTATCCCTCAAACAATGGAAGAATTAAATGTTATTCCTTAGGTTCTAGATTAGATGCTGCCTGATGCATTCTAGATGATAAAATAGGAGTCGGGATGTTGCTGGACTAAAATTTTTACTCGGCAATTCAGCATTTTCCTGCATCTGTCCCACTGAAGGATAGAAACAAAGCATCAGAATAGTTGAAGACTACTGAAGTTCAAGAAAGTCTGTGATCCTGTCTTCAAAATATGTTTCCTAAACCAGCACCTCTTCCAGAGCTGTTGCTCTTCACTGTTTCATCCATTGAGATCACACTGAAATGGTAACTAGTCAGCTTCTTCCCTGAAGCAGGGATGAAGAAGCTCCATGTCCCATTCTGAAATCCTCCCTGCTCATCACATCTCTACAGTGCTTTTTGTATTTGCCATACTATTGATTCAGCTATGCACTTCCCTTCCCTGCTGTTGAGTTTCCAGCTGTGCTTCTGTACTGCTGTTATCTGCTTGTACTGTTATCATCTACTCACAAATAAAGGGCCTCGTGCAACCAGACACAGATGACTTGTCTTTGTGCAGTGGGTCTTCACCCTTGCTGCAGCCACTGTACAGCTTCCAGGGACACAGCAGCTTGTTCATCAGCAGGTACATGGGCATGAGGGGAGGTGGGAGACTTTATGGGGAGAAGGCTTTAAGAAAGATGCAGAGCTGTGACCAGGGAATAGCCGTTCCCTGGAAGGTACCTGAGGCTAAATCGGTCAGCTGCGGCTATATCTGGATGCAAGCATCCCACTGGAGAAAAGAAAAGAGAGGGAAAAAAAAAAAGTAGTTCACTCTAGTACAAGCTGGAAAGCCTCCATAACTGCAGCGCGCTCTCTTGGCCACCATCCTCGCGACCCTCCCCGGCTGCCCTGCCGCCTTTCTTGCAGTGGGCTCTTCGAAAAAAGCGCCCCCCCCGGGAGGGGAGCCGAGCGGGCATGGCGCCGGCGCCGCCTCCTCCCGCCCTCACCCCTGCCGCCTTCCTCGTCCGTCAGAGATCTCGAATCTGGTGTCATGGACTGGCCTTAGGCACCCTAGTCCTAGTGCCCTCCGCCCTCTCTATGATCAGTACCGGAGCGACCCGTGCGCGATCACCTCATCACTTCCGTCGCGCCCCGGATGCGGAAGTGTTGTCGGGTGTGCGCGTGCGTGGGTGGGGGCGGAATCATGGCCGACCTGGCGGCTGTGGAAGAGCTTGCGAAGCTCGAATACTTGTCTCTAGTCTCCAAGGTCTGCACCGAGTTAGACAACCACCTGGGCATCAACGACAAGGACCTGGGTGAGTGAGGCGCGCACCAGCCCGGGAGTTGGGCAGACGCCCACGG